TTGTCCTTGAGCTATTTATTTAGCCCTCTAAGCCTCTTATTTCCCTATATGAAAAATGGGGATAATGCCTGCCTTTGAGAGTTTGAGAGAATGAGTTATGCAAATAATTTGTGAAAAATCCATACACAACATAAGGCAGTATGTATAGCAAGCATATATCGTAGAAACCTCAGTATTTCAGTGTCCAAACTGCTTTCCTATGTCACCCCTTGACATGCTACAAATCATACCAGCAGTCTTCAGTTTTGATCTAAAAGTGTAATTGCATGGTATAGATATAATCAGAAAAGAAGACATTGTGTAGGCTAGAAAAGTCTTGATGTTGTAAGAAGTAAACAAATTATGTTCTGATGCTGGCTCTTACACCACTTAGTTGGTTTCTTTGGTCAAGTCATTTAACTTCTTTCAGTTTTCCTCATTGGTAACATTAGAATTTGAGACTTCATAAGATTTTAAAGTTCCCTATATATTAGTTCATACATTTAGACATGTTTCGTAAGAGAGCTGCCAACTTAAGCCTTCCCATTGCCATACCCTTTTCTTACCACCAGCCTATTGTGTGCCCCCCAAATGAAGTTTATGAATACTCGGTAAGTAGGTTGAATACCCAAGAAAATATTTAAAGCAACAGTATGTCAGTCATTCAACTATCTTTGTGCTGAGTAGTAAGTATTGGGATACAGATATAGGACTATTCTGCCCTTAAAGATCTCAGGCTGTATGAAAATAATTTGTAAATATAAGGTGCTGATGGGAACAGTCCAGGATATCCGTATGTCAAATTGGTATGGGGAGGAAGTAGTTAAACTGAGTTACCCTTCAGATTAATTTATTCTCTGCATAGGTAATACATCTATAAAGTTAAAAATTTTAAATGTACAAGAGTATAAATTGAAAGCCACTCTGACACCTCTTTCCTCCAGCCACCCAGTTTGCATCCTTAGAAGCAACCCATTATTGTGCATTCTTCTGAAGCTAATTCTTGACCTGAGTCTTAAAAGGGTCATTCATAAATGATAGGTCACTGATTAAATATTAGGTCATTGATAAAAGAAGGGGATTATTTTCCAAGTAGAGGGAGAAGGCAGTTTGTATAACAATGGAAGAGTGAAAATATGTCACATTTGGAAAATGATGTGATTAATTTGACAGGAATTAGAGCAAAGGGCTTACATGTCATGGTAAGAAATTGAGATTTTTATCATTAGTGTATGGTTGCTGTTAAAGGTGTTTTTTGAAGCTTTATTATTAAAGTAGTACATATCTTGGAACCATTACAGTATACTTTTCAATGAATATCCTATTTGTAATTAAAAATCTTGTAATAAAGCTTTGTATAAGGAAATTCTGGGGGAGCTCTGGCTCCCAGAACTCAGGATTCCCATCCAATAAAAAGTACTAAATGGCTTGGTATACCTAAATGTAGCTTAAGTATTCTGTTTGCTTTAAATAACTTGTTTGCCTCAATATTACCTTAAAAATGATTAAATATTTTGGTACATGTTAAGATATTCTACCACAAATTGATTTTTGGTACAGCAGAACTTTAAAAATTATAACCAACCCTACATTAAACACAAACCAAGCTTGTGTTAAGTCTTATGCATACATAACCTGATTTATCTTTTAAGGAACTCTAAGGAAGTGTTTTTATCCCCTCTTTATAAATGAAAGGAACTGAGGCTCTGAGGATTTGACTCACATAGCTAGTAGGTGACAAAGCATAGATTCAGACTCAGGTGTTCTGCTCCCAAAGCCAGTGCTCTTGGAAATTGCCAGAGTTTATTTTATTACTTTGCTGACTGTAAAATAGGAGGAAGGAAAACCTGTAGCCATTGATTTGTTTGTATTGTAACCCTTTACTTGAAGGATATTTTTAATCATTTTAAATCCCTAGATGATAATGTTGGAGATGGCCCTTGTTGTTTTCTGCTTATTGTATTTCCCTGGTTTTATTTTGAGATCTCTAAAGTTGAGTTTTGAAAGAGGAGAAGAAATTTGCATATTTCAGGGCTCATGTATGTACCTTAACCTTAAAACTTCAATGATTTTTGTAGCTTAGTTTTGATGTATAGTATACGTGGTTGGGGTTTTTTTTTTCTGTTATAGTTACCCTGCAAAGATAGACATATGTCACACTTGCATCAACTTTATAATGTATTACTTTTATGTACTTGGAAACTAACATGACAGACTGTGTAGGTATATAAAGTCAGGGAGAAAAGAATATACTTTGTTCACTGGTTTTGAAAAATAATCAGGCTGATCAGTATTCACAAATGGCTTTTTTGAAGTTCTGGATCAGCTAGGTTTCACGGACTTGACTCCTTTAATCTGTGCCTGTTAATCAGTGTTTTGAGACTAATTACTGTTCGAATTTGCTAAAAATCCTTTGTTTATAACAGATAAGCTGAAGTATTGGAGAAACCAAAGAATTCATATTTTATACAACTGTCTTTATCCTGGCAATATGCACTGTTTAAATTTTTCTCTAGTGCATAGATTATGAACTCCATATAGTTTCTTCATTTTTAATATATGTAGAAACTGATTGTTAACTGCAAGCTTTTGCAACCTAAGTGTATTTGTTCTGACATTTAGGTCCATTTATAGTATTTTATTTCACAGGTTCCTTTCTCACCCCAAGAAAAACGACTAACTGCAGATAAGATCTTTTTTCACTTCTACATTTGACTTATGAGAACATTTCATTAATAGTCTGTGCTGTAATAATACTGGAATTTTGTAACTTAAATCACATGACTTCATTTAAAACAGATTTATTTGGCATACAAATTTGATTCAAATTAAATATATATGTATATGTTTTTCTAAAGTCAGGATCTCAAGTTGTTCTTTTAAAGAATGTCATCCTTATAAATATATTGTAAATACTATTTAATGAATCTTACATTTCAGACCTGCAGAATAATTTCCAAGTTTACTCTTTGTTACTTTCTTGTATTTACTACCTTTCTTTTCAAGTCTTTCTGTTTATTTTAAACCCCATGGTCTCCATACAGACCTGTGTGAATAGCATACTTGTTTCCATATAGTCCTGGGTAAGCCTTGTAAAAAAGCCAGGTTCAGTTTTTCAATTGGTTCACTTACCTTTCATTTAATTTGGCAGACCTATTCTAAGTACAGTGAAAAAAAGAGGCCTGACAAATATATCTTGAGAGGATACAAGCTGTTAAATAAATAGCAGTTAGCAGCCTCTTAATCCTTTCCTGATATTAGTAGGTCTAATCAGTGCCTTTGATTGCCTTAAACCCAGTCAAGAGAAAAATAAAGGGTTAAAAGAACAAAAAGGAGTTGAAGTAGGACAAGGAAAGAAAAAATACACATACTGTAGACTCCTTACTAATCAAACCTTAGCTTTGGTGACACTCTGGCATCTAGTTTTGGATCATCTAAGAGGTGCCCTACTGATTAAAGTTAAAAATACCTCTTAAAAATGTGTTTTAAAAATTCAGTAGTAACACCATGAGTCTTAATTTTACATTTGAAGTCATACAATTCTATTACTTGTTTTGTTTGATGATCATTGATACTTGATTGCTATTCCATTAAAACTTGGAAATAGTTTTCTTACTGTACTAATAATACAGCAGAGACTCTCTTAAGGTACCTGTTAGGGGCTCAGAATTGTCATATTGTATCTGAACCTCATTTTGATGATAAAATAATAGCTATTATTTACATTGAATATTTTTGAACATTGACTGTGTGCCAGGAGCTTAACATATAGTCTCAGTTCTTGAACCACCCTGCAAGGGTAGATAGTAATATCATTATTTAACTGATAAAGTGACAGCCTAGAGAGGTTAAATTTTAACTCTGGTATATGTTTAGCATAGTAGTTTTAGTAGTTTAAGAGCATGAACTTTGGGACCAGATTGCAACCTACTAACTCTGTGATGTAAGGCTTCTATCTGACCCAGTTTCCTGGTCTGTGAGATGGGAATAGTAATAGCACCTACCTCTTAGGACTGTTGTAGAATTGAGTTAATGAGTGTAAAACATTTAGAGTAGTGTTTGGTATATAATAAGCACACATATTCTTAACTTGCTGTTGTTACTCTGCTACAGCATGGATCAAGAATTTTAGAAGTGGTGTTTCAAGTTTTTGTTAGTTCCCTAACATACAGGTTGGGGGTGGGAGAGAGTTTGGAAATATGCTGAGCTAGAGGGGGAACTGTTAGAGAGCAGGTTTGTCAAAAGTTTAGTCGCCTGAGAAGCCACTCCTGAGATGTGAGGTGAATCATGCTTCCTGGGAGCTTGCCCAGATGAGCTCATCAGTTAAGATTCTATGGTTATAGCCCTAGGGAAAGTGTCACCAGGGACTAGTAGAAATGGAAGGTAATTAGGTACATAAGCTATTACCCCTTAAAGGGGCATACTACTAATTCTAGAAATTAGAAAGCTGCCATACAATTACAGCACCATTTTTTGCCCTACCCCAGAGAAATCACACATAAATAAATGGATTCTGAAGGTAGAAATTTTGTAAAGTCCAGCCTAGGAAAGGACTCATTCATCATCAAACCCTATCAAATAGATCCGAGGAAAGATTTTTGTATTATGAAGATACAGCTCAGCTTATTTTACATATACCTTAGAACAGCTTTATTAAACTGCTAAACATACAGGGATTTATGAAGGCATCTGATACAGAGTAGTGCTCATTAGGCAATGAACTAGACACACTTGTATGTGTGTGAGTATATATCCACAAACACAATTGAATACTAGTTAATATTTGATTTTATTTCTATTACCCCTTTCTTTTAGAAATGTGATCCTGAATTGTCAGGGTCTGCTGGATTTTGTCCAGTTTTAATTTCACAATGCTTTTAAGCAACTTTATTGTGGCTTTTTCTCTCTGTTGAAGCACTTGCACTGTATTAGAAATCTAAAATCTTTCATCTTTTCGGGAAAAGTAGTGATTTTACTGTATTTTCTCAACCTCGTTTCCATTTGATTCTTGGATCTCACAGGAATCCTTCAACTGCTTTCTACCAAGCGTTCCATTTGAACACGTTTCAGGAATCAAAGAACCTCTGGGATAGGTATGAATACTTACATATGGAATGCATACATGCAAAGGTGTATGCATGAATTGCTTTGCACTGTACTGGTTTCTCATCACTAAAACTGATCTTTGTTATTGGTGGGGAGGGGATCATGTATCTAGCATGAGACAAAGCAGCAAAATAAACCAAAAGGGCAGTCTGTATTTTAGAGGATATAAAACATTTCTTCTTACTAAACTTTTAATTATATTTATTTTTGGAAGGATTTACATATTCCATTGGATTTTGTTATATGAAACATTTACTTACCCTTGTGTATTTTAATGTAAAAATATACTATAAAATAAACTACCTACAGTTATTTTAATTTTGTGCTATTTTTATTTCTCTGTAAGAGCCTTAGTGACTCAAAGCAAAATGTTATTTTATATTAAGAAGTTGGAGGAGGGACAATACCAAGGAATTAAAGTAGCAGTCATTGTTTAACTCTTGGCGAGAAACTTGACCAGTAAGCTTGTTTGCTAGAATTAACTAGATCTGCATTACAGTTTTGTAAACCCCTAAAACAGTTTGTTTTCTCACAGAAATGTGTAAATTTTATTTTTAACTTTTAAAAATACTGAATGAAATTTTGAGTTGTTCATTTATGTAAAAGATACTTTGGTTTATCTTTCTGCTTAATGCACATTTTACTAGTATATGCTCTGTTAAGTTGTTTTGCTGAATATTTATCAGCACTCCATCATTCTGTGTCTAATTAATAGAAGTTGAGCGCAAATGATGTTTTTAAAATTCTCACAAAGCTTTGTAAAATTCTTTTAATTCTGCCTGGCAACGCATTTTTGTCCTCTGGCATAGTTTGGGTAACACTTGTGGACTCAACTCCATCTCTTTCATTAGAAAAGAGTATTGCTAAGTGCATGTCATGCTTAACATGTCATGTTAAGACGTGGTCTGCATTGCCTAGAAATGGTAACAGTCTTTTAATTCTTTGGCTTGATTTGCTGTGTGTGTCACTCTAAAGAAATTTTCTAACAAACTTTCTTTTTGGTGATGTGTTTCTTACTTACTGAAAATGTTTTGAAATAGTTACTTGCAGAAGTTTAAAATTTGTAGTACCATGTTTATAAATTCAATTTTTAAATTTTTTAGCTTATAATATAAATAAATTATTCAGCTATAGCAATAAATTAAGACATAATTGTAAATCGTGGCATGAAACAAGCATGATGGTTTAATCATCCAAATGGCTTACCAAATGTAGCCAGGGTGAGTACGTTGGGGTATACTTTATGCTTTCCCTTAGAAAAAAAGAAAAATAGCACTCTGTGTAAAAATATAAGAATAGCTTTCGGATGTATGGTAATTTATTTCAAGTAGCTAACTTTTGTGAGCTTCTATGACATCAATACGAATGATATATATTGTTTTCATCAAATCAGTGTAGAAAGGTTTGAGCTTTAGTTTTTTACTATTTGGATTTAATACTAAAAGAATTCTTTTGTTTCATTATAAAACAGCCATAGAAATTGCCTGCTCCTCATTTGTTTTTACAGCTAAATACTCCTTATCTGTTTTCTTTTTTAGATACCAGAAACATTTAAGGTATCAGAAATGAGGCAAGTTGCTGTATCTATAGTTTCTCATGGGTTGAAAGTATATTCTCTTCTTGGAGCCTGTTGTCCAGAGCCAAAGAAGTTAACGGATACTTGTCTATAGTATGTTAAACCAAAATATAATCAGAATTCATGTTCTAGATCAGCCATTCTTCACTGTAAGTTGGCCTGTTGGTACCAAGGTGACAAGCCCAACCCGGCAGAAACTGACTAGTGGCTTCTGTGTAACTTTTTAACCAGCTTATTACATTTTTAATTTAGAAGAGTAATAGTGACTAGCTTTATTAGTTCCAGCTGTCTACAGCTTCACTTGACAGATACCTACAGACTTTTTAATTAGCTAAAAAAGTATAGTGGGACTACTAATTTTTTTTTCGTTCCAGGCAGGGGTTGAAGATTTGTATGTGGTAAGCTTTAAAAAAATACCTAGTGTCTTCTGACCTCATTTTTGTTAGATCTCACCAAATTACCATGTTTGTTTTTCACTATTATAAACTTAGAATTTTTTAAAAAATTACAAGTAATTTGGCAAGTAAGTATTTTGCTGGGATGATTCTATTAAATAAAACCATTCGGGAGTTAAAAGGACTGTAAATCCCTTACATCATCTACTTGCTTTGAGGTATAAATCTGCCTATTTCAGGCTCCTATTTATGAAATCTTGGAAATCATTTTCAGGAGGGGCAGCTTTTAAGTCCTATGCCAGTTTTTATTAAACCTGCCCTAAAAATCTGAAGATTCCTGATTTTGCCTTACTTGAAAGATTGGAATCTTTTTCTAGGATTCTTTTCACTGAGTGTCTTCTAATCAAAATATAAGTAACTAATAAACCTGTCTCACATTGACTTAGAGTTCTCAAATGGCCCCTCTGTTTTCTTCCTTATTTAAATTAGAATTACCAAATTGAGAAGCTTTTCATCAATCAGTCTGCTTCTACCTGTATTTAGATATTCTCTTTCCTTTCCCTTTTCTTGTAGGTGCCATCATTGTTTTCTGGCTCCCCCATTTGTCATTTGCAGTGTCCTCAGGGAATCAATGAGATGAAACCATCACCAAGTATAAGGACAATAAATACTGATAACCTCAAAAATAATAAAGCCTTTCTTAGGAATGCCACGTTTTCATGGACTGTTTATTAAAATAAATAACATAGCCTCCATGGTTAGCTTTCTGAGGATTATCTTACCAGGAAGAAGTGTATTGTTAGTGATATCATAGCCTATAAGCATTTCACCATAGTGGCTTTAAAATTTGACTTCCTGTTTTTCTGCTTTAAAGAACAGCTTTCCTTATTTAATTATTGGCATTACTTTGAAAAATCTATAGAATTCGTTTAGAAATTTACCTTGTTGGCCACTGGGGAGCAGGTGCTCCTTGTGATTCCTTTAACTGCAAAAACTCAATAAGAATTTATAGCAAACAATTTTACTGTCTTGTAAATATCATTAGGTCAGTAAGGTAAAGGATTACTAGAGGGGAGAAATTGAGCTCAGGTAGACTAAAAAAGGAAATCAGGTAGCTTGTAAGGATTTAACCTAATTGATAAACAACTTGTAGTATTTCTGCCTTAATGAAGAAAATGCATGAATGCAGTCAACAAATGAGAGTAACAGTTGCTAGGTGCACCATCCCCATGAGTCTGCTTGTTGTTGATAGCACCAATATTTTAAGAGAAATGAATAAGGAAAGTAGTGCACATGGGTTGTGAACTTAAAATTAATGTCTAAGTTTATGGTATGTCTTTTACTAGATATTTGATGATTTTGCTTAAATTTTACACAGTAATCATTTATAGCTAGTTTTTGAATGATTAGATTTAAAAAATTCTTTTTAAAAATAATCTAAAGTATTTTGTGTTAGAAAAGTCTTCCAGTATGTCCTATCATTTTTCCCTATGGGATTTTATTTTTGAAATTAGGAATAAATAAGAACTAAGCTTTTATTTTTTTCATCCTCCAAGAAGCTTTGATCTACCATAACACCCACTTGTTAACCCAAATGGTAAAAGTTAGGTGTTAGAACTTGGCTAATCTAGTTTTTGAATGCTCAGTGATATGACTTTTTAGAAATCTTTTTATGAGAGTATAATTTATATCGGCAAAGTACACCATTCATAAATGTACAGCTCAAACTTAACACACCTTTGTACCCAGCACCCAGGTCAAGGTACAGAATATCATAAACTTCTCTATGACCCCTTCCCATCACTTTCCATCCTCCAACTTATAATAAGTGGAATCATAGACTATGAATTCTGTTTATGTCCCCTTTGATCCAATATTATGTTTGAGACATCCATTATAATTCAGCATAATTGTAGATATGAACTGCACAGTTTTAAAGAATCACCAATAGTGGATTACTTTCTTGAGATGGTTAGTGGTTTAATGCCCTTTCCTAATGATTATGTTGTTAAGTACCTTGAGGATATGAACCTGAGCTGTTTTAGAGCCTCCCCAAATATATTCCCTAATTATTTGTATGTAGTATTTACATAATTTATTATCTGACTACATTTTTACCTATTCCAGTTAAGAATATCTAGTAAAGAATAATCAAAGACACTAAAAATTAGAGGACAGGTTTTTAATGACCTTTGAATCACCTTTTAGTACTGGATCTCAGATTTAGATGAAAACCTAAGAACATGCTTATAAAATGTTCAGATCACATTAAAGCAGAAAGTCATAGCTACTACTGGATGACAGCATTTATAAATTTAATAATCTGAAGCATACAGAAATTGAAAGAACTTGTATGTAAATTCAGGGAGGTTGAATAGGTAGAGTAAAAATACCTTAGTATATTAGTTGACTGCATTTATAGTTTTGGCATTTATAGCCCAAGTGATGGGCCTACCACAAAAGATAATGAAATTTTAGGCAGTATTTCTATAACTAAAATAAATAGGAAAAGGTGACAACAGACCTGTTGTGCTCCATTTATATAGGATAGTTATGCTAAATACCTACCTAACTAGACAATCTACTTCATACTGTATCTGAACAGCCAGGTGGGTGTTTCAACAGGCAGGCTTGAGCTTACTGTCTGAAATTGGATGGTCCTCCCTGAAAAATAATCTTGCCATCACTGGAAATAATAAAGCTGTCTTCTTGGCTGTTAATCAGGAATGTTAACTTAGAGCGAGGTGTAGAGCCAATTACTTTTAAAATCCCTACTCTGTGAAGTTTTATTTCCTGTACTTAGTTCTAAATGGAAAAGAGGTAAGAAAAATCATTAGAATTGAGCCCCTTTACTTTTTGTCATTGTTGGCCATGCCTATCAGGAAACCGCAGAGTCGTATATTTGCTTAAGGAATAGAAGGCTAGCAAACTTCTCAATTAGGAAAGACTCCTACATCATAGGCAATTAAGTGGTGGTCTCAAATAGGGTAGTCAGTGAGCTGGGTCTTAATATGTA